TTCCTCCTCCCTCTAGTTTCCTCTGAGTTTGTAAATGAGACCAAAATGTGGTTTTTGTCGTCTGGTTCCAGAAAAAGTTCTAGTTTCTGTCAGATCCTCCCAAAGCTCTGAGAATCTGCTTCCAGAGCTGGAACCATTTTCCTCATCAACTCTTCATCTGCAGCCTTTGTTGAAGCTGTTAGCTGTCCTCCATGAAGACCTGCAGAGACATGAGCTTCAACTCTGGAGACATCCAGCCTCTTCTAGTTACTGGAGAACTTTCACTGCTTCACAATGAAATGCTGCTGGACAAACGCTCCGTCTCCTCCAGGGGTTTTGCTCTTCAGCTCTTTAGGAGTTTAGCAACATTTCTCCTGACATCCAAACCTTTGTTCCTCTGAGACAATGGACAGACCACTGCAGAGACATGTGTCCCTCTTCCAACCAGTTTGTCCCAGTTCCTCTCAGATCGACAGTCTGAGAGGACGGTTCTGACCCGAAGGAGCAGCAGGACCGGTTCTGCTGCTGCTCTGCAATGTGAAGCTTTTATTTGCAGCAGGTTGACGACTGTCCACTTTCTACTTTGTTAAAGCATCAAATCCAGCAGATGAACGGAGACAGAACTGGAGCATCATGTGTTTGTTCTGCTCCCAGTTTCCTCTGTGGCAGCATTTAATAACCTGCTGCTGGGAAACATGTTTCTATACAATATATTACTATTATTCATGATGATGCAGCAGATATTGGCTCAACAAACCCAGAGATGCCAGAGGTCCACAGCAGCTGGACTTCCTGTTCTGCTCACTTCATTTAGAACTCACTTCCTGCTTGGTGGAAGATCTAGACGGTCTAGTCCAAGTCAGAGCTGTGAGCAGTTCCTCCTCCTCTCCATCATCTCCAGTCGTTTCCTTCATTCAGCTCAGTCAGCCTCTTCATCAGCTACTGCAGAGAAACTGAACTTTCCTTCACTGATGATAGAAGATCTTCAACATCTGACTGCAGCTGAAGGTCTGAGGACATGAAGCCTGGACCAGAACCAGAACCTGCACCAGAACTAGAACCTGACCAGAACCAGAACCAGAACCTGGACTCTAACCAGGAACTGCACAGATTCTCTGTGGGTTAAACTCAGTAGATATTGGTCAGATGATGATCAGATGATGATCAGATGATGACATCACTGTTATTATATTTTAGTCTGTTTATGATCCAGATTGATTTCATTAGAACTGAATTTATTTCTTCTCTAATCACAGACTTGGTGACTGTTGCTCCAAAACGCTGAATGTGAAGTTTTGGCCTCGGCTCTGAAGTCCAACCCAGATCTGACTGAACTGGTAATAAATCGGATCTACATACATAAAGCTGGAGAATCTGATATGAAGCATCTGGTTGAGATCCTGGAGAATTCAGTCAGTAAAGTGAAGATTCTGAGGTTTGTTTTCTCTATTTATTCAATAAAATCATTTATTGATACTTTAATCAATAGTTAATCAATTTAATTTTAATATATTATTTTAAAACATCCTGTTTAATCATCAGAATAAAATCTCTAAAACTTTTGACCTTATTAATTATTTTCTTATTTCAGACTTTGAGATTATTGAACTTTGTTTTTCAGTTTTTCTCTTTAAAATGTTTTTGATGAATAAATGAGTAAAATAATTGAAATGCTGTGAATGAATGATGGAGATGTTTCAGTTTGGTAAAGATTCGGATGGTTTTATTTCTGATTCTTTACATCAGAATGAAATGTTGATCCTCCAGAGCCACAAACACTGACGAGTTCAAATCCTCATTAATGAACGTCTAAGAAACCACTGATTGTAGAAAAGCAAATCTAGATGCAATGAATGAAAGTGAGGTTTGCAGCAGCAGCAGGTTCCTCAGCTTTGTCCTGAGGCTGTGGTTCTGTTGGGCCGGGTCAGAGAGGAACCGTCTCCTGAGGAAATAATGGCCTCCATTGGCTTTCAGCAGCTTTAATAGGAACCCAAAGGCCATTAATGAAGAACCTGACTGGTTCTGATCCAGTTACCAAGTCGGGTCTGATGATCAGGAACCAGCAGAAATAGCTCAACTCATCCAGGCTGATAGAAAACTTTGAGTTTCTTTGTGGATCAAATGTTCTGGTTCTGCTGGTTTGGACTCTTAAACCAGTTTGACTGGATCAGATGTTAGAATCAGTTCATCATGTTTATTTTACATTCAGGGAAATTAATTTACACATTTTATTATTTATTTGTTCATATTTCAGTTTTAACTGCATCCTGTTGGTTCACATCTTTTATTCTTTATTCAGATTGGAGAACTGCAGTTTATCAGAGACCAGCTGGACGTCTCTGTTCTCAGCTCTGAAGTCCAACCCGACCCATCTGACAGAACTGGAGCTGAGCGAAACCAACCTGGAAGGTTCTGGACTGAAGGATCTCTGTGGTTTTCTACAGACTGAAGGCTGCAGACTGAAGACATTGAGTATTTTAATGATATAATTATTGATATTTCTGTGAATAATTCTATATAATTGATCATAAATCAAAGTTCATTTCTTCTGATCTAATCAATATTTTCTGAGTTTGTTCCTGGATCCAGAGTTTAATTTAGTTTCTCTGTGTAACTGAGTTGGACCTGCTGATCTGAGGTCAGAACAGGACAGCATTCGGACCCCAGTGTGTAGAAATCCCCCTCAGGTCAAGCAGGTCAAAGGTCAACATGAAATCTCCCTTTATTGAAGATCCATAAATCCCACATTAGTTTTAAATCTTCTGCTATTAGTTGATGATGATCCAGTCCAGGTTTACAGAGTCCAGGTGTTGCAGTGCTTTAACTAGACCAGATTAAAGATGCTGATAGTCAATAATTAGGTGGAATGGCCCTTTATCCACTTCCTGAATCAGAAGATTCAATCAGAAACCAACTTCAGCTTCATCTGAATAAATCCAGACCACTGAGTTTTTCTCTGAGCTCAAAAGGCTGCAGATTCTTCAGGTCATGAGTTTCTGCTCCCAGAATCAGAACCAGCAAAGATGCAGCACATGGATCTGCAGCAGGTTGTTAGGAGAGGTTCTCCACAAGCTCAAGGTTCACAGTCTGACAGAGACGGACAGAGAAAGTGGACTAACTGGATGAAACGGTTCCTAGAAACAGGGAAGCTTTCTGGGGACTTGACTGCTGCTCATATGGAGCTGCAGCACATGCAGCAGTTTGATGTTGGCAGGAAGCAAAACAAAATGGAAGCAAGTGATGAATTTCCATTTTAGTGTCAATTCCACTAATGGAGCAAATGAAAGTCAGTCGTCTAAAACCAGTGAGAGCAGCTTCCAGAGGAAAATCTGAGTTTGTTGTGACAGTCAACTCTATCAGGATGACCACAGTCTGCTGGCAGAGATCCTGGACATTAAGGAGACATAAATAATATCAAGATGATTCATTAACAGTCCTGCAGGAAATACTGACTTTGTTAAAGTCATTTTGTTCAAACATCTTGATTCAGCTTATTTTGTAGGACAGGAAGTGAGGTCTTACCTTTGTAATGCTTTGTATGCAACAAGCTTCAGCAGTTCACTGAAATCATTCTCATGTGTTTTACTGAAAATAGATTTAAAATGATTCATCTTCACTATCAGGTTGTTCCTTTATGATAATATTCCCATTTCTGCAGCGTCTCTGATGAAGGATTCAGAACCAGAACTAAATGACCCACATGACCTCACAGAGAAAAGGATCAATATTTTCTAGTTGATGGTTCAGAACTGAATCAGCACAAAATGATCAACTTTCAGAATGTGATGATATTATAAAAGGATTGAAATCAACTCGTTTCCATCTGTCATACTGAGCAATGAGCTGCAGTTCAAATACAAGCAGCAAAAAACATCATTAATAGATTAATGAAGAAAAACTGGAGCCATAAAATATCAGCAGATCAATGATGGACAGAGCAGTCGGAGAATCCAGAGCCTGGAAGGAAACATGGAGAGAAAAACATCCACTGAGTTTAAGATCCTCAGAAACTTTGAGACAAACTTTGAGTTTCTTTGTTGATCAAATGTTCTGGTTCTGCTGGTTTGGACTCTAAACCAGTTTGACTGGATCAGATGTTAGAATTAGTTCATCATGTTTCTTTTACATTCAGGGAAATTAATTTATACATTTTTATTATTGATTTCTTCATATTTCAGTTTTAACTGCATCCTGTTGGTTCACATCTTTTATTCTTTATTCAGATTGGATCTGCAGTTTCTCAGAGACCAGCTGGACGTCTCTGTTCTCAGCTCTGAAGTCCAACCCGACCCATCTGACAGAACTGGACCTGTTCAGAACCAACCTGGAAGGTTCTGGACTGAAGGATCTCTGTGGTTTTCTACAGACTGAAGGCTGCAGACTGGAGACATTGAGGTATTTAATGATACAATTATTGATATTTCTGTGAATAATTCTTATAGTTGATCATAAATCAAAGTTCATTTCTTCTGATCTAATCAATATTTTCTGAGTTTGTTCCTGGATCCAGAGTTTAATTTAGTTTCTCTGTGTAACTGAGTTGGACCTGCTGATCTGAGGTCAGAACAGGACAGCATTCGGACCCCAGTGTGTAGAAATCCCCCTCAGGTCAAGCAGGTCAAAGGTCATCCAGTCCAGAAAAGTGAATTCCTGGAATCTGACAGGAACAAATCAATAATCAATGATTGATGCTTCAACACTTTGATCAGAACCTGGAATGATTTTACTGACTAAAATCCTCCAACACATCATGACCCAGTACCAGGTTCTGGTTCTGGTTCTGGTTCTGAAGTCAGCAGGTCTTTATTGGAGCAGCAGCTTGTTGGCATTAATATTCATGAGAATCTTTAACTGGTTATGTTGGACTGGTTAACCTGCATCCTGTTGGTTCACATCTTTTATTCTTTATTCAGGTTGAGGAGCTGCAGTTGTCAAGATCAGCTGTGATTATTTGGCCTCAGCTCTGAAGTCCAACCCGACCCGTCTGACAGAACTCAACCTGAGAGGAAACAACCTGAGGAATCAGATGTTCATCAGCTGAAGATCTTGTAGAAACTGTAAAGTAAGTAAATGTTTGCAGTGAGTCCAGCTGCTGTCAGCATATTGAATTAAACCCAGTCAGCATCAAAGCAAAGATCCAGTGTTCCCAGTAAAGCTGCAGCTTCTCAGTGGAAGGAGAATGGTTCAGGCTTCCTGATTGGACACAGCAATCAGCCAATCAGAGGAGCAGCAGCTTGCTGTGTTGTTGCTGTGTCCATGTCTCCAGGACGTCCAGCTGGACTCCAGCCGTCCAACATGTCTAGAGACAGTGGTCCTCATTCATCAAACAGCAGCAGATCTGATCTCAGACCTGCTTGTTCTCTCAGTTCAACAGGAAACAACTGATCAGGTTCATCTTGGTCACAGCTCTGAGATCAGTCTGACTGCAGTCTGGAAACCATCTACTGGATGTGCTGCGTCACTGACTGCTGCTGGAGAGGCTGGAAACACTCACTGATCTGCTCTCCTTCCTTCTTCTCTCTGCAGGTGGAAGACACCTTTGTTGTCCTGCTAATCCTCAGAGGTTGAAGCTGCAGCAGTTTGAGTCTAAAGAGTCTCTGGATCAAGATGATGACCTCTGACCTCAGAACATTTTCCTTTTCTATTTCAAATGTTTTCCAGATGTCGATCAGAATGTTGAAGATTTTCAGTTTTATTTTTCATCTGATCTGTTTGATGATCTGCAGGAACAAAAGAGAGAAAAATACTCTAAGTACGTTAGAAAAGTTAAATTGAGTAGAAACTTGAAGCATTAATTTCATTAAAAACTTGTTAATGGGACAAATTGTAATCTTATTCTGTCGTGGTGAAAAAGTTGATCTAAAATCAGACATGATAGCAGCTCTATAGATTCAGAGCCAAACAGTAAAACTTCCTCTGGATCTGTGGCATTAAATCCACTTGAGATCCAGACGTCCTGACCAGATCCTGCAGAGAAAAGAAACAATATTTGAACGTGGATCATTTGGACTCAGCTGCTTGGATGTGTGTTTGGATTTGAAAGGTTTTGTTGTGAAGCAGAAAGTTGAAGAAGTTCACAGTGAAGACGACTTCAGTCCACCTGAAACCTGGTTTCACTCAAACCGCCTTTATTCACTTTAAGTTTCTGATGCAACAAGAAGGAAGAAAAGGTCAAAGGTGAACCAGAGATCGACTCCATGTTGCTCACAGATGTGATGGGATCAGTTTGCACAGCTGTAGTTCAAGGAGAACAGTTTTATTTTCCAGCTTTTGTTGATGGATGCAAATTTGCATCAGAAGATGAGAAAATAACTTTCTGTGGTTTATTTGTGTGGATTTAAAGTGGAACAAGTTTAAAGAAAAACTAGAGGAGAAACCTGAGCCAGCGTTCTGACAGACCAAACACTGAGGAACCAGAGTTTGCATCGTCAAAGTGACGAAATCATCTGAATGTTGTGACTCGTTTCCCATCAAATTCCTGACAGGAGAAGCAAAACCTCACGTCTCCAACATGAAGCTGCAACAGGATGCAGAACTTCCACCGAGCGTCACGTCACTCACAGCAGATCAGGAGCCTCGCTCTTCACCTCAACACCGCCTAAAACCTGGGACCAGGGGTTAAAGGTCATCTCCTGCACCTAGTGCAACATTTCACTTCTTATGAGAGCACGTCTCAGTTTAGAGGCCAAAACCAGCAAGAAGCTTCAGAGTTTTCCTGCAACGTAGCTCTGGTCTATTGGCTTCAGTGAGGCTGGTTTTACTGAAGATGTGTTCAGGTACGCAGGAAAATTCAGCGCTGATACAGACGGGACGAGCGACTCCACCTCTGATGATGCTTGGATAAAAGTTTATATGTTCAGATCTACATGAGATGAAACAGTTAATTCTCATCACATATAAGGACATTCTCCATCGGTCATCCTGCCGTCGTTCTGGATTTATTCATTATTTACATCGTCAATAGAAATTGTTCAACAAGATGTTTATCTCTGTTTTAATTTTCACTTATAAAGTCATATCAAGTCAGCTTACATTACTGTTGTTAAATAAGAGTCACTGCAGGATTTTTTTCAGTCTGATTAGAAATTAAATGTCTTGTAAATAGTTTAAGACAGCAGCTTTATTTTATGATTTAAAACAGTTTTTATTACATATATAACTCCAAACATTGAATTAAAATATGTCAGAATATTATTTGAGTTAGTAAACTGTCAATATGATTCAGGAAGACTGTTAGTTTTCTCTAAACTCCACATTAAGTGAATATTAAATGTAAATAATGCAGAATGATCAGGGCTGTAGTTCCCACTATGGCCACCAGATGAAGGAAATACCCCTTTCTGAAAATAGAGGCGAGATTGTGGAGCTGCAGCTGGTTTCTGGAAATTGTGTTTTATCTGTCAGTGTGAACTAGAAGCGGCTCCACAGATGAAAACATCCCGCAGAGACTCTGAGCGGAGCTAACGATGCTAACAGACGAGCAGCGGCTTCAGGGGAGCTGTGGCTCCTAAACTGGAGCTTCAGCTCCAACAGAGCTGAATCAAAGCTCTACAGCTCTGGTTTATACGCTAAGATGCTGAGCTTCCGGTCTGAAGGTAGGAAAATATTTAAGAAAAGTTAAATTGTCCTGGAATCAGAATGATGTTGATGTTTTAGCTACAGAGTCACGAACTGAACTATTAGAGCAGTGCGGATTTTGCCCTCTAGTGGACCCAGATGGTAACTACAGCTACTTAAAATCAAGTAGCTGTAGTTACCATTCCGCTGTACTTTCACAGTAAAGCCATAGAAACGAATTCCTCTGTTAGCTTTCATTTGAAATAATAAATTTTTCTCTCTGAAACAATAAACTGTTATTCAAGAGCAGCAAATTAAATTGTACTCATTTCAAACTGAAATTATTTTCAGTTCAGAAAAGTATTTAAATAACATTAACAGCAGCCCCATCTCTGACCCAGATCTATCTCTGACCCGGTTCCATCTCTGACCATCCATCATTTTATTTGAGAAAAAAGATTTTACATGTTTTTTTTTTCTTTTTATGTTCATTCTAAAATCTAAATAATGAAGTTTTGCATCATCATTGATTCTCAGATTTAATTTTTCTCAGTTTATTGTGGTTTTTACTTTTTTAACCCCATATTTTATATTTGAGTTTTAGGACTCGATGTGTCTCATCAGACTCTTTACTGAGATTTACTGAGACCTCGGAGAATCACTGGGATAATGTGCTGATTGGGTCATGATTGTTTTGTTTTTTTTTATAATTCTTCTAATATAATTTGGGTTCCTCTGTGTTTAATGATAATTCAATAAAGTTTTATAAAATGTTCAACAGAACTTTTTTTTTTCAGTTTTAGTGTGACAGCTTGTTAAAACAGAAACATCCTGTTAAATTAATCTGAGATTTTTAAGCTTCTAATAAAGGCAAAAGTTTGTTTTTATGTTATTCAGACTGAAGATGTTTAAATAAAACACATAAGAACCATTTAAATGATAAATACTGTTATGTTTTTCTCTAGGCTTCTTCTTTAACCTGCTTCAAACAATTAGGGTATTTTATTACCTTTCCGAGTGTTTTATTATAAAAATTGTTTTAATGTTTGACATATATATATTAATAATTATATTTTCAGGCCGTGATTCTCAAAATTTCCCACAGTTCATCTTTTTGAGAGATTTTTATTAAAGTTTAGTTATATATTCAGTTATGAATCCTGTAGTGACTCTGATTTAACAACATAGTAAATTGATTTTTTTTTCTTGATAAAACTGAATCTTGAATCTTCTAGTTTCTTCTTGAAATGATTTCCTGCAATAAAATGTTGGCTGGAAAAGAGCTGAAAACTGAGAAAAACCTAAAAAGTTCAAATGTGACCTAAAGTTTTACAGCTCAACTCACTGGTGATACAAAGAGAAACATGAAAGTAAAAGTGTTAATTGTCACCTGAAAGGTGGAGGAGTCTAAGATGCTTCCAGATGCTTAAAGTCACCTTGAAGGGGGCGGAGCCTCAGGTAAGGATCAGGATCAGGACTAACTGGTTCAGACTCCATTTCGCAGCAGAGCAGAGTCTGGATCAGGTGAGTTTTCACATTTTCTTATTTTTCTCTCTGGGTTTTCTTTCTGTGGAGGACCAGAACTCGGCCCGGTTCTCCTTCAGAACCAAGTTGCTGGCTTCATGGAGCTGTGGTTCTGGTCGGATTCTGGTTTCCTGTTAATCAGAACCAACAAACTCTCTTAAAGCTGCAGTTTCCTGTTGCTGAGCTGAACTGTGAATAAATTCTAGTCTGTCTCCTGCAGAGCAACACGTCCTGCTCCGTGTTTCTGTTCAGTTGTTTCATAACGAGCCTCTGATGACATCACAAGAGGCCTCATCTCAGACTCTCCCAGTAAACAGACTGGGACACCAGTGGGTCTCTGATTATCATTCATGTCTGCAAAATCCTCATCAGTTGTTTAAGCCCCACCCCTTTACAGCAGAAGGTAAACACTTGTTCTGTCGCAGGAATCTGGACCGACCCATTGGTCCTGGTTCTGTAGCTCTGAACTCATTCAGTGTTTCTGGTTGTTTTCAGACTGGAGAAATAAAATGAACGGCACAGGTGGGCAGATCAGCCAGAAATGATTCTCTAGAGTCGCACTACTTCAACATCAGATGCTTGTAAATAAAAGTACAAAGTACAGCATCATAAAAATACTCCTGAAATGCTATTTTCAAAAAAGTAACTCAAGCAATAGCTCGTTTAATACACTGTAGAGTTAAACTGGGACCAGTAGGTCTTCACCAGTTGTGACCAGCTGAGATATGAGGTGTCAGAAGACGGGGGTGAAAACTATTTCTAGATAAGGTTACTCCCATTGGATTCAAATCAGTCCTGGTTCTGATCCAGGAGGATTTTTAAATGTTTCTCTTTTCTTCAGAGGCTTTTATCAGTAAATAATTAATTTGATGCCTCTTCATGTTCGGCTGCATCTGAAAACTGTCCAACTTCTGTCCAGTGAGGCTGTCAGTCTGAGCTGGTGGCATCATCTCATCAGACAGTTCTTCATGTATATGTACATATAGACATATAAACACACAGGCACATGAATCAATGAATCAATAAAGAAGAAAAGTTGCTCTGAGGGAGCAGACTGTAGTAAAACTTTCCTTTCTTACAAATAATTTGTGAAAAATACAGTAAATTATTCTAAAAAGAATTTATTCTGTTGCAATATATTTAGGTGTACAAGTTATGAGACAGCATATTGTTTAAATGTGTTGAGTTTTAGTTTTTTTAAAAAATTGATGTAAAAATAATCTGCTTCACTTTCTAACAAACATTTGTTTCATTTCAGCTACAGATATTTGTTTCTTAGATTCATTTTCCTCTTAAATTGTTCCTCTTTTTCTTTCACTGAATGTTTTCCAGTTGTAAACTTTGTTTTGCTTTATTTAATATTTGTAGAGTTTTGAAGTCAACTAAATGTCTACATTTGGAGTATTTTGGTTTTTAAAAACAGTGGATTTATCTGATTTCTGAGCCCAGCATCAAGGATGATTCTTGTTGCTCTTTTTAATGTTGAATTATTTCTAGACGACTCGTATATTAGTCAAAACCTCAGATAACATTGTGGCAGTAAACAATAACCAACAACTTAACAGGTTTTTAATTTCCCCGTTCTAGAACGATGTGTAGCCATGTTGGATTGTGTTTCCAGCAAAATTTCTGATTCCACCAAACAAAGCAGGAGGAAAACAAACATGAATGTCGTTGATGTTGAATCAGTTCATTTTATGCTGCAGATTCTGGAGGAAGGTGATCAGATAAACAACAAATACC